ATTCTCTAAAATAGAGATACTCCTCAGCTTAGGTTCTTTAAACCCAAGAAAGTGTACTTGATGTGCATAAGAACGAGAAGTGAAATCCAAATGCAACTTTCACATGAATTCTTCTGAGAATTGGTAGTGTGCATGGATGTGTGTGTGTGATCAACAGCTGAAGGGGGACGGAGAGACGAAAGTAGTCGATACACGCACTAAGATTGTGAGGAGGGGAAAGGGAAGTACAAGGCGGAACGCAGACAACATATGGACATTGGCCAGGAAACGGTTTGGGGGGATGAGAATATCACGGTGATTCGGTAAAAGATAAGAACGAGGTCAACAGAGAGGGGTAGAAAAGGTAGATAGAGAAACGCCAGATCATATTAGAATTCAGTCAGATTTTCAGGTGGCTACTAAATACACATTCACAGGGATTGAATCGATCGTATTTCAACATGAACTGTGTTAGAGACTGTCGCAAGTTTTGTTCGTAGCAGAACGAAGAAACGCTTATGAACCGCTGAATTTATCAGATCTAAGAGTGCATACTTCGAATGAACAAAATCTGGCTTGACCACATGAATCGTTTACTTGTGTTCGTCGATGGTCATGATCGGGGATATCGGATTAATTATAATAGCACAATGGATAATCGTGTCCCAAAGAGTGAGAGTAGTCAAGAAGACCGGAACGGCATGACCCAGGGTTTTGATTGCCATCCGAACAACATAATAAGGAGATAATGGTGCTTATAGTTTTGAGGGCAAGCCAATCAAAGAGAACTGATCAATGTACAAGGAAGAGAAACAAAAAATAAACCCAGAGAGATGGAACAGAAGAATAAGACTCGCTATGGAACAGCTCTCTAGGACAGAGAGGTGAATTGGATGGTCCAGAAGACCGAACGCGTCGTAGGTCACTCTATTTACAGGACACAGGAGGCGAAACGAATGAGATGAGACTAACCGGAAGGAGGATCGGTGTAAAGTCAATAGAGCGCAGAATACGAACATAATCAATAGCTTCAGACAAACACGAGTTTGGGCGCTGCCCTTCACTGGACCGTCCGTATCCACCGGTGATAGCACAGTCCATTATCCCATACGTCCGATGAGAAGTGAAGAAGTACAGTGACGGGAGATACTAACAAACGTTCGGAACAACTAAATACGAATCAAAACAAATTAGGGGGAAAGTAAATGCTCTAAAGGGAATAAACAGTAGTAAACCAAAAGCCTGTGGATTCTCTCGTCACGTGTCCTGTGCTGTAAATGCAACGTTGGGTAGACGGGTGAATGTATCACAAATCTAGGAAGAAAACGGAGCTCTATGATCGGGGGTCTGAGATGATGAGCACATAAGAAAAAGAAGACTGGCGCCGAAGAAACGAGAAACAAAGATGTAATATTTGCTTCCAGTAAGCGCTTGGTGGAAGGTGTGTGTATACGTGTAAAAGAGGGTAATGGAAACTGTAAAGACATCTGCACATAGGGATATGGAAAGAGTAAATGAGTATAAAATTCGTACACGGGAGCACGTGATTGAACTCAAATGGGTCTTGCAAATGAGAAAAGTTAATGAGGATAGGACTCTATGCTCGAGTGCAAATGACGATGAACAAAATCAAGCTACTGTACAGGATTTGGAGCCACTGAACAAAACAATCAAAACATTTTAATGACTGTGAATAAAAATTAACCCGTGGGTACGGGAGTCTCACGTGGACAATGAAGGCGGAAAACTAATGGAGCACGTAAACGAAATATGGTGGAAAGAGGAAACAGGACAGAAGAACACTGTCTAAAAACAGTAGGTGATGAGGCCTTAACAAAAAAACATGGGATAACTTATGAATACAAATCATTCCACGAGTTGGCGCGTGGGTAGATAATGCTGGAATAAAAATGCGACCGTGAATGACGTGTGAACCATAGTCAATCAAAGTAAACAAATCATGAAGTGGTAAAACGAAATTCACTTCGTCTCAACGAAGAGTTGATGATTTCAGGTGAAGATTGCAAGGGAAATGATGAGAACGTGCTCATGTGAAGATCGATCAACAGAAATGGGTTGGCAGATCGAGGAGACAATAGTTATGACTTACAGCTTTCTTCGTGACAAAGAAAAAAGACGAGAAAGCACTACAGGCGGAAGGGCATGCGGGCAACGTTGATAAAAAACGTAGCATCCAGAAAATAAACACATGATGAACAAAAGATTCGGTGGGGCGCAGGTCTTGCCTGGAGGGATGAGGATCTTCGCACTCTGGAATGTGATATTTCTTGCACGCACCACACGTCTATGTGGCTGTACTCATGAACACCGACGGGTGTCCATATAAAGAATTTTAAAGCAACCGTATGGGAGACGCGCATTGCATCATTAGACGGAAATCGTGGGTAGGTGACGAATGGAAAAATAAGATACATCCGTGCTATTCCCGTGGCTCAACTCGGATTCAGAATTTTACCGCCAGAAGGACCGAGTGTTGCCAGTTCGGACGGATTCACAGCACCTGCTGAATCTGGTCTATCTTTTTTGGTGCTGCCGTCACGCACGATCAGGTTGTCGGACGTGTTATTGACGGAGCCAGGAGTGGGACTGGTTGGCGGGTGCATTGACGAGTCATTGGGTTTGGGTGTGGGAGATTGCGCATCAGTCTGTTGAGGAGCGGATGTCGTACAGGAATAGTTGGGCATGGAGACCTGATGACTCAGGCGGGGGCGCTGTGGAGTGGAAGCCTGTGGAGGTGAATGGGACTTTTGATTTGTCCTTGTGGGCTGAACAACGCCCAAAGCTTGCGTACCATGGGGACGTTGAGAACTAGCGTTTGCATGGGATGGTGTTGAATGGACAGGATCACCGACTACATCAGGAACACCATACATCTTGTGCGCTTTTTTATTCATATGAGCCATGATTTCGCATGACAAACGATAACCTTCAAGAATCTCTTCACGCCACTGTGTGATGAGCACCTTATCCTGTAAACAGATATAAATTACAGTAAATAAAACTAATGAACGAAGTATTTAGGTTAATATTGATCGTTCTTCTCTGGTATTAACATAGACATCATAATGATGTATAAAGATGGAAGAAGAGAAAAAATATATATCAATAAATTGGAACTGAAACTCAGGTTCATCGAGGAGATGAAAATCTGTATGTCTCAGCAAAACAAATGGAGAGATCTGTCCAATTTGAAACTACGATTTCGTCACGAGAATACCACATGAAAGTATGGCTAACACCCTATAAAGCACATCACATCAGGGGATCTAAATACCCAAAGAGGAGCTGGAATGGACAAGGTTTTCACATCATGAATTTCTAACCATGATTTTACCCAGTAAACAAGCGCAGAACAATTTCATCGCATGCGACACCTTCGATTGTTTTTGTTTCTCAAACCCAATAAATCACTCGGTCTGGATATGCCGGAAATTATTATCCTTAAGGAGTGATCATAGACAGTTCTTTAGAACTGGTGCATGAAAAACGGTGCCATACCTGACTGTTGAGATCTGCCTGCTTCACAGCAGTACCTAAAAGAGGAACCTCGAAACTCCGTTTCACGGCATATACGTCTGTTGTGTTGAGGCCGTACGAGAAGCTACTCCTTTGAGGAGTGTCAACTAAGCGGGACGGCAAGGACCAAAACAATTGAAGTATTGCTGCTTTCGTTCCACACTGGCTTCTTTGGTCTGCAATACTCTGTCGGTGGTCGACGGAAACAAGCGACCAGAATATTTCTTGGATTATAGTGACACCTTCAACAGTGTTGACAGGTTGATAAATATTTATTTACTGCGTTATTCACAGGCTATTTCACAGATCACTCAGCTTACACGATTCCACGGACGTACCTCTTCGTCTTCAAGATCTACATTTGGCGTACTACGGGGTGCGACCCTATTACCGTTTCCCTGCATATAACGTAAATCTCAACCGTTCTAAATGCATAGACATGTTGATCTGACTTTCCAGAGGGAGCCGTTACGCTAATATTTTAGAATGTTGTTCCACAATAAACACTGTGACACATAAACAACTCGAAAATGTTAGCTATCTCGATGTATAACCATTTNCACCATTCGATGTTTTCAGATTGAAAACTTTACCAATCCCCCGGCTGCCGATCCGCCGATTTGTTGTTGCTTTTTGGCTATACGGGTCCAGAGAGTCTGAAGAAGGATTTTAATTGAAAGATCCCGTCGATTTCTCTGTCACTTCGCTATTTCACCACATAATCGAGTCACTCGTTATCCAATAAAACCATGAACAACTCTTCGCATCCCCTATAAGCAGATCTTACAGTGTGCGANCGATCCTATTCCAACCGATCCCTCTATATATGAGCGTTTGCTCGCACCATCGCCTACCCGGTTTTCTGTGGTACCTTACCTTGGCCAATCTCCGTATAAACCGGGGCGTATCGCTTCTAAACTGAACTCACTTATACTGTAAATAGTGTTTTATTCTGTCTTCGCTTACCATTCTACCTTATCTACATAGCTGCCAAATATTCACCTTTCGGGGTGCATAAAGCACATACTTAGCTTGACTTCTTTTGGCATCTTTGGAAAAAAAGCAGCAAGAGTCATCAGTGTTTGTCAGCAGAATCAACTTTAGTTCACTGGAAAGCGGTAGTAAAATCGCAAAAGTGGTGAAGTTGAATGCGGTAGCAGCTGGATTACGTCCCTATCAAGGAAGTGATTCGTTGATAGAGAAAATTGAATTTCACAGCTGAGGAAGAACAAAAACTATCCAGCGAAACAACATATTCAATGACCCTCGAACCCATTTGCGTCCACCACACAAACTGAGGTAATAATTCGCAAATGAAAAATACCTGGATTATGCATCGTCCTCCGAGATACGTTGGAGGACGAATAGGTCTTATTTAGAGTTTATGGAGAAAAGTATTCCGGTGAACCCGCTTGAAAAGTGGAGTTCGGGGAAAGCCAAAAATTGTTAGTTAAAAAGTGCACATTACAATGCCGATACACAAGGGAAACCAATGCTCAATTTGGTCCATGAATAACTGGAACCCTTCAGTATAACAAAACTTGGAGAATTCTGGTTTGCGTGGGCAAGGAAAAGTGAACCAGTGATTGAGGAAAAACTCACATTGGAGGTCAGGTATATTCGTCCGTCAGTTTTCAGTTTGATGGAAATACAATGATCCATTTTACACACACGACAAAATTCTGGTGAAATTTCTTTGATGTCCATCATGGAAATAAGCTGAAATCAAAATAATTGAGATCAGCTGCAAGGATCTCGTCGCAAGACTCGTGCTCAAAACAATTAGAGATAAGTAATAAATAAGTTTATATGCAATCCTGCCTTGACTTGGGCATACCTACCTAGGCCTGATAGGCCTGGCAGTATTTAGTTCACATGCAAACCTTGGAACGTTCTTTTTTATAAAGATCATTGTACCATGATTTGTTTGACACACAGTATGGTGTCAGACGTGTGTGAGATATAAATAAATACAAATAAAACTCTGCAATAACAGGAAAATAGAGCGAAAAGATATTCTGACGGTTTTATTCATCCAATTAGATCATTCACATCAATCAACAAGTGCCAGCACAGTGCAGTTGCACACCGTGGGAAATACTACGCAACAAATGCGTGGGCCAGTGATTATGACAAAGATAAGCAACAGAAGCAATCCATTCAGCCATTTAGTAATGATCACGATTAACATGTCTGACAGACATCGATATCAATCACATGCGAAGGAATAAGTGGTATTCGTAACTAAGCTAAGAGACACGCAGCAGTCGAAACGAGTAGACCAAAAGGAAATCACTTTTTATATATATATATATATATATATATATATATATACCGACTCACTAGATTTACCATCTGTACTGTCAATCACTCAAAACTACCTTTATAAATACCCCTATCAGAAAAGTTCAATCGAGAAACGAAAACAATGCTTACCTCGACACCTTTCTTTAAAATTAAACCATCCCGGGATTTATTGTACAACTCTAACCGATTTGGAAAGAGCCGTAGATGCTTCCGTTGCCAGGTTTGCATAAACGGACCACCCAATTTGAGGACTTCACCCTCCACAATACAATCGGAAGCGATTCCATCTTGTGATGCTACATCACCAGAGGGCCCAGAGGAGGAACCAACAGAAGTGGTGCTACTACCCAACCCGAATGGTGCGGATGACCCAGCACTCAGTACTGAACCGCCAGCAACTGTACTGCCACTGGCCGGTCCCAGTTCCTCGGCAATCTGATTGGAACGTTGACGGGCTCGAGCACGTTTAGCATCCAATTTATCCGCCTCTTGATTGACCACTTCGAAAACCGTTTCCGCTATTTCCAGTTGCCATCGTTCCGACACGACAAGAGAAAAATTTTGATACAATGCCTGGTCTGCTTCCGTCAACTAAAATGAGATCATGATGAGCAAAATTTACACCATTTGATCTTGTGTATTATAAAAGCGCAGTTATTCGCAAAAAAAAGTGTATGAGATACAAATCGACTTCAAAGCAACTGGTGGTATGAAGTATTAATATTACATAAAAAGTGACATCTACTCTACCTAACGCAACAGCTGGCTTAGAAGAAGTGGTCACATAGAGGATAGAAAGTTTGGTGAATAGTTTAAGCGTCTTGTCAGCGCTTAAACAATAATTGCTTCGATCCAGTTGCAAATCTTATCCAAAACGGGAAACTTGCAAAACATATGCACAAGCTCTTCTACCCTGGCAACATGTCGTTAGACGAACTGGTTGACGGTTTGAGTTGTCATCACATTGAAAAAATAATTGACTACCCGCTATTGATTTCGAGCATCTGCTGTTTGCGTGCCTGATGTGGCGATACAGCTAGTTTTAAAATAGAGTTTTGCAATTTTAACTAATTCTATGGAAAATATGAAAAGACAGTATTTGGACATAAACAGCACGGCATTGATCAGATGGCATAACGGGAAACGGAACACGGGGAATCCCGACATAAAAAAGTTGACACTCAACATGAACATAAATGCTTGACCTCCGAAATCCCC